GTTTTTTGTAAAGAAATTCACACTTAAATTTGTCTACAAAACTGGTTTCAATAATTTAAGCAGAAGCGTTTAGATCAAAAGGCTTTTTAGGACATTAGAGAAACATAAATCCAGTCAAGTGTTTCCAAACTTTTCACTGCTACTGTATATGTTTTATAGTCTAAAATAAACAGAAATATGGAAGAACAATTATAAAACTCTTATGTTTTGGAGAGCCGTTTCTATGATAATTAGCGCACAGCCATGCGTGCAGACGGGAGCTGAACTGCGGATCATTATGGCAAACGAACAGAGAGAGAAACACTTTTAGATTTTCCATTTCATATAATGTGCTGCAAATGTTTCCAATTTTCCATTTCATACTCGAACAAGCTCATTTGGTTAAAGGGGGTGTGAATGTGTGTCTGCCAGAGACGCGAGGCTACAGTATCAGACTCTGACTTGGGAGATTTTTAGTTAAACGCATTTAAAGGAATATAGAATGCGAGTCTCCCAGCGTGTGTTTATGTTTCATATATTCATGTGTGGCATCACTAGTTCATTAACCTTCTCTTTTGAGTGACGTTTGCCCAGCCAGTGTCCCAAATCCCTGCATGGCATTATGGGAGCATTCGGATTGGTCGAGACACTGCTGCCTTGGCAACCTCAGCAGGCATCGCTTCCCTCCTATAGACACACAAATACACACTCGATTTGTGCTTGTGTTTTAGGTGGATTAACCAGGAAGCCTGACTGGAAACTGGAATAGACTTGTCATGTGACTTTGCCTTTCAGAATTACTTTTCTAGTGTAGAAATTTGTGAATAATATAATGACGTTTTGTACTTTTTATTTTTTAGGGCCATTCAAATTGCGATTTCCAGTCCTGCAAAAATGTAAACATTTTCTATAGTGAATGTGAATTTTTCTGTTCATGCATGGAGGTTTGTAAAGCTTGATCTGTTTAAATCTAAATTCTAAATTATAATAGTAATTTTGCATTTTTAAATGCTGCAGATAAAATCATGAACTCGTGAGTAATCGTTCTAAAACAAGAAAAAGTCATGAATATTGTTCAAAAAGTGTGAAAACACTTTTTTTTTCTAAAAAGCTATTATCTCTAAAAACGTCATTATTAGTATATTATTGTGATTATTTGTTAATGCATCAAATATTCTTTCACAGTTAAAAATCTAATATACTGTAAATTGTATATGCATGTAAAGTGTATATTTTTTAATGCGTAAACGTATAAAATATGTAAACGTACATTTAGTAGAGAAGTATATTTTAAGAGTGTTTAAATTACAAAATTTAAAATAATTGAAATATATTTTTATTTTCTAAAATAAGTCAATAAGATAATTTATAATAAGTGTATTATGATTTTCTGTTGATGTATCTGTCATGAACTGCTCCGAGACAAAGACTGATGATCCAAACACAGTGTTTATTCAGAGTGTAATCCACAATTGTGATTCAAACACAGGCAAAAGTCATATACCAGCAAAACAGTCCAAACAATAACAAGAAACACAGACAAAGAGTAATCCAGGGGTGTATCCAGAAAGCACGGTTAACTTACCATCTTCTAAACCCTGAACTTTCAGTTGATTAACCCAAAACCTTGCTTACTCAAGGTATGTGGTTCCAAAAACGCATCCAGGAGTAAGTTCACTCAACCCAGAGTATATTCCTGGTTAAGACTCAAGACATTCTCAACAGAGCGATGAATCGATGAGTCACTATGGAAACGGACGCTAAGAAAAAGCGCACCATGCTGTTTCTATCTTCTTCTTTTGTTCAGTGGTAATTTACATGCTCAATTCATATCGATGTTATATTGATGGTTGTGCAATCATTTTTATTTTTTTTCCATTTAATCTTCAATCCTTGAGAATAAGAATTGTATCGTTTGTTTGATGCTAATTATATATTAAGTCATATCAGATATGTATTTTTATTATAGAAATACATTATAGAAAATGCCGATCCATGTGTGAGATGATAATATAAAAAGTAATAAATAAATATATATA